TGGTAAAGCGTCTGCCTGCAATGTGGGAGACCCAGGTTCGATCCCTGGGTTGGGAAGATCTCCTGGAGAAGGAAGTGGCAACCCACTCCAGTATTCTTGCCTGGAGAATCCCAAGGACGGAGGAGCCTGGTAGGCTACAGTCCATGGGGTCACAAAGAGTCGGACACAACTGAGCGAGTTCACTTCATCTAACCTATAGTTATGTAAAGTGGACATAATACATCAAAATATTTTGTTTTTCAAGTAGTTTCAAATAATTGGATTGTAACAGGTTTATTCTTTTTCATGTCAGAGTTATAAAAATGTTGATTTCTGTCTTTTATCAAGCATGACAGCATCATTGTTAGTATTATTGTTAATACTGGTTTATTTTAGTTGGCTCAGATGGTAAAGAATCTGACTGCAATGCAGGAGACCCAGGTTCCATCCCTGGATTGGGAAGATCCCCTGTAGAAGGAAATAGCAACCCACTCCAGTATTCCTGCCTGGAGAATCCCATGGACAGAGGAGCCTGGCGGACTCTGGTCCATGGGATCACAAAGAGTCAGACACCACTGAGCAATTAACACACACACACAGACACACACAGATGGATCTCTGGGTCTCTGGATCAGAAGATAAGTCTTATCAGTTGAGTACCCAACTAGGGGGCATCATTTAATCCATCACAGGGCCCAAGAATCTGTCATTCTTAATGGATTCATAGTCAAGTAACACGGATAAACCTTGAACAGTGGGCCAGGGGAAAGCCCATGTTGGTTCTCACTGCTTAGCAAGCTTGTCACTGAGTTTCCTGTGTGTGCTGGTGTCTCTCTAACCAGACCATCTTCTTCCTCGGGACAGAGCCTTAGCAGGGCCCAGTACACACCGCAGGCGCCGGCGGCCCCGAGAAATGCTGCCTTGGGGTGCACTCACACAGCCATTTCTCCAGAACTCTCATGTCTTGTCCTGGCCCCTCCCAAGCCACGCATCCCAGGGCTCTGCTCCCACCTACTAACACGACACCTGTGGTCATTTAACAGACACCAGCTCACAGACGGCGGCTCAGTGTGGGAAGGACGATTAACCTGCAGCAGAGGTCAATTATCTGACTGTTCCTGGTGACAGCAAAGAAGGTCGCCTGGAATGAAACTTCTGTCGGGCTCCCCGCATGCCCGGAGGGAAGCAGCAAACAGAGCCTTGTCTTCCAGCCTCCAGCCGAGCCTTCCCTGCGCCCCACGTGCTGGAGGAGCCCTTCAGAGCCAAGTGTCAATGAGGACCGGGGAGCAGGCTGTAACTGACAAGCTGCCCCCCAAACCCGGACTTCGGTAGAGCTGACTCTTTTTCCCTGAAAACCCTAAAACCACAGATGATATTCTTCAATGATTTCAGTGCCCTATAACCCAGCTGATCAGACATTAGAGACCATGTTTAGGATAAGCGAAGGGATTTAACAGTAGATTACGGCCACAGTCACCCAGTTGTCAGGTTAAACTGCAGTGAATTGCTTGAGTTCAATAGTTCAGGTCTTTGTCCACCTTAATGCCTTTTACAGAAGTTACCATGAAGTCCTCATGACTGGATTGCCAGAGGGACACCCTGCAGTAATTTTTCGACTTACCTGCAAGGGACTTTAGAAATACCCTTTGGCACTTTATGGAAATTGTGACATTATGAAGCAGTATTCAAAGAAATGAACAATACGTGACAATTTGTAGAACAGCCTTCGGATCTGAGTACATTTGCAGAACAAGAAGGAATATAGGACTGTTTAATGTAATTAAAAGGTTTACGTTAGTTAGATTCCCTATCTTGGTCAGAATAATTTACAGAGGGAAAAAGAAATAAACCCTTAGCTCTGAAGCATTTTTAATATGCCGTTCAAATACCTTGTTCGAAATTACATTGAGCAGAACTATTTGGAGAAGTGTTTTGAGTTGGGTCTGTTTTAAAACCTTGTCATTGAGTTCAACTACATTTTCAACTTAGGTCCAGATTCATCCCTGAAAAGGAGAAGTGGTTTCTTTGTGCTATGAAATCTTCCCTCACCCACCACACTCTGCACAGAAGATTCTTTTACCATTATAAATCTCTTCTCCCACTGGCCTTGTTCATTATTAGGATCTTACTTGTAGGATTCTGATTTGGTCCTGGCCTCAGGTTGTCTTCACAGCTGAGAGGGTATCAATAGCCACTTGAGGAGTCAGGGAGATGGGTCCCCAATCTCACGCTCCCACTCAACCGCTGGGCCGGGAGCACTGAGGCGTCCTGCTGGCAGGAGAAGGAAAGATGCTCCTCCAGGCAGCTTTTGGCTGCAAAAACATTGTAGAAATCAACTATCAGACAAGCCACATTTCCACTCCTTAGGGAGAAGAGTCTGGGAAATTTTGACAGTGCTGTGAAAATCAAGATAGTGTTAAACTATAAGTGGGAAATCTGTAAATGTCTTACGGTCAAGTATCTAGGGGCACAGCTGTTGAGCTACAGAGACCCGTAACTGGAATTCCTGTTCTGCCCCTGACATGGCTGAGTCACATGGACAATCTCACTTGCCCTCTCTGAGTGTCGATGCATCTGCTGGCGACATGGAGACCAAGGGGCGTGAGGGTCAGAGGTGAACACGCACGTCCAGCTGAGTATGAGGCTGGAAACTAGGGGGCTTGTAGGCAAGGTCTGCCATCACCACTCTGTCTACTTGCCTTTGTTCAAAAACAGCGATCCACAGAAGTTCTGAAATTAATGCTACATTTTTCTATACAGTGGAATGTGTGACCACAAGAATTCAGTTTTATTTTCCAGGAACAGTCTAACACATGTAACCAAAGTATGCAGGGTCAAAATGCAAAAGATTGGGACTTCCCTGGTGGTCCAATGGTTAAGGCTTTCCCCTTCCAAGGCAGACGGCACCGGGTCAGTCCCTGGTGAGGGACTAAGATCCCGCATGAGACATGGCCAAAAAGAAAACAGAAAATGTATCTATAAACCAGAGCTAATGGCCATAAATTACCTAGAAAGGGAAGAATGTCAAGTTAATAAAACTAATATTTTTTAAAAATGCAAAGGAACAACACAGAAATGAGAAACTGGGAAAAATCAACACATGGTGTAATTTTAAACAAAAGTATTTTAAACAAAACTGTTGCAATAGCATATTTTTAAAGAAAAATATGCCCTTCATCCCCCTTCTACTTTACCAAATGCCACTAAAAAAAGCTATCTTTTTTTCTTAAATGACCTTCCCTCGAGTTAGTGATAGCTACCCATCCTGGTTTTTAAATACTTGGAGAGCAGCAAAAATTATAACTATTTTAATCAAAGATGTGAGCAATATAATGACTTACAATAATACATTATATAGCACCTCCGAGCTACCTCATAATTTACCCATAGGGAATATACCTTAAAAGGAAAGGATCTAATATTCCAAACCAATTATCCTCCAATTAAAAATAAATTTTTTAAGAAGGAAAAGATATCCCATAATTTCCTTCCCCAATTAGCATATGATCAGGCATGTTACTTCCCTTTCATTGCCATAAATTCTCAAAATGTTGCAGCATGGATCACCCTAAGAATTTAGCATAAGAATAAAGATGTATCTGACACAGTGGGGGAGCTGGGAGGGGTCCTGGCAGGCAGGAGACGAGGGACAGTGAAAATAAGTCCACACCGGACGGGCCAGACTTCAGTGTCCAGCATGCTGGGACGCGGGACAGGCAGCTGAGCCCACTGGACTCCTCTCCTGCACAACTCGGGACTGAAGACCAGAACCACACGTATGCCATGCTCACGCATCCTCCAAGCGTCCGAGGAGACACCAGATGGGAGCAAACATCACCAATTGCTCAGGGCAGAACTGTGTGCGAAGAGCAAGAGTCGCCTCCCCCACCCTCTCCTGATCTTCCCTCTGCGGGTGTCTGCGTCCTGACCTCCTCTACATGTAAGGACCCCACATTGGATCAGGGCTCACCCTTATGACCTCATTCTAACTTACTTCCTTCCCTAATGGCTCTTAGTCCACCTGCCAACGCAGGAGACATGGGTTTGATCCCTGGGTTGGGATGATGATCTGGAGAAGGAAATGGCAACCCACTCCAGCATTCTTGCCTTGGAAATCCCATGGACAGAGGAGCCTGGCAGGCAACAGTCCATGCAGTCATGAAAGAGTTGGACACGACTTAGCAAGTAAACAACAACCTCTTTCAAGATCCTGTCTTCAAATACAGTCATGTTCTGAAGTCCTGAGGGCTAGGATTTCAACATACGAATTTGTATGTGTGTGTTCTGTTGCTCAGTTATGTCCGACTCTTTGCGGCCTGATGAGCCAGCTAGGCTCCTCTGTCCAAGGAATTTTCCAGGCAAGAATACTGGATGGAGTAGGTTGCTGTTTCCTACTCCAGGGGATCTTCCTGACCCAGGGATCAAACCTGAGTCTCTTGCGTCTCCTGCACTGGCAAGCAGATTCTTTGCTACTGTGCCATTTGGGAAGCCCCAATATGAATTTGGGGGGATATAAGTCAGCACATTCAAGTAGGAGAATATCCTTATTTGTAGGGAATATGCACTAAAGGATGTGGAAATAATGTGACAACATGTTAGCAGCTTAGTCTCAGATGGTATAGGAAAAAAAAAGAGTTCTTTGTACTGCACATATTTGCCACTTTTCCATAAGTCGGAGGCTCCCAAAAAGCTGTTAAAGAAGAACAGTCCAAGAGGAGAATTTTAAGTGTTGTTAATAGGTAGGTGAGCCTGCCACCATGAGCAAAATGACACTGCAGCTCTTTGAAACCTCAGCTCTGAATTTATCCAAGTCCTTTCCTCCTATCCTTTACCAAGATGAATGCTTTACTAAGCAAAGCATTCTTCGGATAACCCATTACCAACTGTTGGCATAAATTCTTAATACTCTGCAAGAAAATGATCCTGGAAAGCATCAAATATTTACGGCCTGCTGTCTGCTCTGCCTCACTTGAGGAAAATTCTCATCTGTACACAAATGTTCTTCAGCTTTGGGGAACAGATGGTGGAGAGTAATAAGAAGGCTAAAAAATTAGAAGCAGGAGCAGAGCACAGTACCCAGCCAGGGAAGCTGAGCCCCGTGGGGAACAAGTGTCTGAATGTTCTTGAGACAAAGAACTTGAACGCGCATCGCAGAATTTGTCCATCAGATTCTGTCCCTTTCTCCTCTTAATTTTGTATATGTGTCCCTCCATCCCCTAGGAACGTGTTGTCCAGTACACTAGCCTGCCCTTGGGCCACTGCACAGGATGTCACGGCAAGGCATCATTAATTCCCTCCCCTCTGCAGGGCAGGTGACCTTGAGAAAGAGACCACACGTGCTTTCCCTCTCAGGAGTGAACCCTCTGATGCACCCCCTTTCTTCACTCCCCTCTGCTTCCCTGGGAATTGCCAGCAGCCCCTACACGAATGCATACATGAATGCCTACTCCCTCTTACTGGCTTTAGGTCTGTCTGACCTAATCACGATATTGTGTCATCACTGAAATAGGCTCTCAAGGGACTCCACCATCACATAGCCAGCTTTGTTAAGGCTCGTTCACCCGGGCAACGCTGCCGAACAGGGCCACACCTGTGCCTCATAAACAGACAGGGACCTGAAGTTCAGCCACTCATGCACTCATGCACCAAGTCCCGACTTCTAAAGGCCACCAAAAATCAAACACTCCCTGTTGCATTCACAGTGCTGTTTGGTGCATTTGATATTAACTTTTCTTTCCTGCGTGTCATTACAAGTTTGCAAACCTTCAAAACTTTATCTTACTCGAATTAAGGGTGCTGTTTTCTTTGTGATGCTCAAATCGTTGCAGTGAGATGAGCAGAAAGCCCTTTGTGCTAGCTGTCTTGTCCTGATGTCATTGAGATCCCGTGTTCGGAGAGGATTACCTTGCCAGAAGCAGTGGTGGAGTCACTATGATATTAGAGCTGTGGATACTGAGTGTACGCATGCGAGCTGGAGGTGGGCGGGGGGGATGTGCAGAAATGATGCTCCTGCTGCCCTCCCTAGGCCACATTTTATGATGAAACTGGAGAAGATATTTCTTTTCAAGGTCATACTTTTAAATTAATTTAACTTTATCACTTACCATTGAATTAGCTTGAATACTGAATTAAATATTTTAATTGTTTCTAGTTTATTTCTTCTAAAACCTACCTCTTTTAATCTTTAAACCTCTCTCCAAAACTATAATCATGCCTCCTTCTTCCTAACAAGCTGCTTGCATCTCACTAACCCCCATTCTGTAGTCAGTTCATTGACTCTTCCATTCAAAAGCCCATCATACTTGTGTTTGTGAAATTGAGACCCTAAACCCAGGCACAGGAGTATAGGCCATAGGCTACAAGTCACAGGCCAGTGGGGGTGGGGGGGTGTTCAGGAGAACTGACCCTCCTAACTCCCCTCAGTCTCTCCACCAGGGGTCTAGTCACCGGGGCCACCACCACAGAACAGAGCTCCAGGCTTATTTGTCTAAAGTTGCCATTCTGAGAACCTCTGGGGCCATCGTGACTCAATGAGGACAACACACAATGTATTTTCTGCCTTAGAGAAATCAAGCAAAGTAAGATTCTTTCCTTTGGTCTCCAAAAAGCCAGTAGAAAGTTTCACTGCTCCTGTGTTTTAATAAAGGGAAATATCTTTAAATGAAATTTTTACATCCTTGGACAGAACTGGGTAATGACTCCAGGTAACAGCCCAAGCATCCTGTCTGCCCAGCCAATTGTTCAACAGCCTCCTATCACGTTTACAGTTTGCCTCCTTATTGTCTGCTGCTGCTGCTGCTGCTAAGTCGCTTCAGTCGTGTCCGACTCTGTGCAACCCCATAGACGGCATCCCACCAGGCTCCACCGTCCCTG